TCTATAAATATATAACTATAGCTATAAGAATTAATAATTAGTAGTATTATTAGTAAACTTATAGTAAAAAGATAATCTACTATACTAATACTAGTTAACTATAACTATAATAATAATCTATAGTCTTTAGAATATATATAGACCCTATAGAGCTAGGAGCTATAGAAAAATATAAGTATTATAACTATAATAAGATTAGATATATTTTACTATAATACCCTAAACTAAAGAAGTAGAAAAACTAAAAACCTACTAAAGAAAGTAAAAAATAGCTAGAAGTAACTAGAAAAACTAAGATTAAAATACTTAGAATAATTAGAAAAACTACTTAGAAAGGAAACTATATAGTTACTATAGTCCCTATATTTTCTAGAAAACCTATACTATACTTTTATAAGATACTAAAAACTAATAAAATACTAATAGTATTAGAGGGGAACTATTAATATATTATAGATATCCTCTAAGAACTTAAATAGAAGTATAAGGATAAAAGGGATATTATAGACCTTAGGTCTCTTACTAAATATAAGTATATATTCTACTATATTAATAGATTTATTAAATATACTTCTAAAGAATAGGAATAATATATATTTACTAGAAATAAGATTAAAGCTAAATATAATAAACTCTATATCTACTACTAGTAGAAGATATAGATATAGAATCTAGATAAAGTATTTAGAATAGTACTATATAGAAGGGATACTATAGATACTATATACTACTCTAGTAATAGATATAAAAACCTAATCTATATAAAACCTAGTAAAAAATATAATTATAAGCTGGAATTTTAAATAATATACTATAATATATAGTATAATATATACTAGTAAGAGAAAATAATAAATAATTTCTTTCTATTCCTAGATAGAAAAATATCTATAAAATATACTATAGTATAAATATAATAGTTTACTAACTAATACTATAGAATAGAATTTTATACTATCTTTAAAGAGAATCTATAGAAATACTCTACTAAATATATAAGTAGAGAACTACTAATAGAATTTTACTAAGAATAGAAGTATAAGATCTATAAAAATAATAAGATTAAGTTATAGTATAACTACTAATAGATAGAAGATTAGATAATATATAAATATAATAGCTATATTAAATAATATTATAACTAGAATTATAGAAACTATTAAGAAGTTAAATAAGAAATACTAGTACTAGTATAGAATAGTAATAATAATATAAATACTACTAAACTATATCTTAAATAGTAATAACTATAGGAGGAAGAACTCTAAGAATATTATTTAAAGGGATAACTATTCCCTATAGATAGTAAAGATAGTAGTAAAATAGGAGAATAAAGAATAATCTTAACTAATAAAAAAGAATAAAATAAAGCTTACTCTAATAATAGAATATCTATAATAATTAAGGAATTATATAATTAGAGAATTAAGTTTATAAGATATATCTCTAGGTATATAGAAAAACTAGAAAGTCTTAAGAATATCCTTAAATAGATATCTAAGAATAATAAAAATTAGAAGTAACTTTAAGAATAAGTTAATTAGGTAAAAAATAACTTAAACTATCTATAATAGAGCTATAGTATAGAATAATATTAATAATAGATTAGAAAACCCTAGGAGCTATAGAAATAAGAAGCTCTATATATATTCTTATAGAAGTAGAAATT